GTATATATAAGTATTTATATTTGTGTATAAGCTGTTTAGATTGTCAAAAAGCCTGTGTTTTTAGGGTTATAAACAAAGTTCATGTACTCAGACCAGTAATATTTGGGGTCACAAGTTTTTGCCATGAATATTTTGTGGGTCAGAAGATAAAAAGTTTGGGAACCACTGGTTTAGATCATTCCCAGAACAAAATAAATTTGTATCATCTGCAAACAGGATAAACTTTAGCAGTTTAGATACTTCACAAATGTCATTTTCAGAACAATTTGGACTCAAAGTTCCAAGAGAAAACACCAAACAGAACTACTGAGATGAAGTGGCGTTACCCTCAGAGTGCTGATATAACCTGCAGTCAGGTGTGCCTGCAGTGGATTTATTCCCCATAAAACTGCAGATAAACATCATGAAAAAGTGTCTTTACGTCCACATGTCACGTCTTTAAAGCAGTCAGACCTCAGCTCGTCAAAAAACAGCGTATCTGCCACCATCTCCCCTCTGCTACAAAATAAAACCCCATCCCACCCTTCAGAATTGATCTGTGGAGCACCAACAAAAACAAAACAATAAAGTGAAATATCTTTGGCAGTTATATGGTAAACAAATACAGTATACGGCTTCAGGGCGCTGCTGAAAGACGAGGCTGATATGAAGCTGCTTGGTGCCGGCTCATCCACAGAGTGTAATCACAAAACTTTCCTGCAGACTTTCTGACAGATATACGAATAAAAACCTTTTTTTTTTTTAATCAGACAGAAGACACCTTTGGGGTGTTCAAATCCTAAATGAACCTGCAACCGTCGCATAGATAAGGCTTTAAAATCCTCAGCTGGAGTGTTTGGTAAACAGATCTGCAGCAAAACATTCAAATTGTAAAATAATAATAAATAAAGAGAAGGAACAGGATGGACGTTTCATTAAAAACACTGCATGCCAGACAAATTCTTTTATCTTTAGTCAACAGTTGAATTTAAATTAAAAAAATTAAACTCTTAAAACTACTATTATCTTTTGTTAAAGGGCCAATATTATGTGTTTCTCAGGCATATATTTAAATA